ATTAACCTAATTTCGGTCGAATGTCCGACCTGCATTTGTAAGCTATAACAGCCAATTCCTGATACTCGAGACTAACTAATAGAATGACCGTGATATTTTCTAATATATTCAGATTGGAGATATTCAAGTGTTGGGGAACTAAAACTTCTATATCTCTGTAATGTTGCACTATTATAAATTATTTTATCAAGAACGGAAGGCTGAATTCGATATTGTATATTCCTGATTTCAGAAGACACAATGTCGAATTATTACAAATATCAAACGACGAAAATATCTTTCTTTGCAGCGAAATTATTTGTATGTTTTTTACTACTCCTTTTTCAAGTTACCACTGGACATAAAACACTGTTTTCTCAGCTTTAGAAAGCATAATATAGTAAAATACACTTAATTCATAAGCCAAATCACGTGTTATCTTCACGTTGAATAAAAAAGTTCATTAGGAAACTTTATCATATAGCTTGCCTAATTCTTCTGTTTCTTCAAGAGGTTTACCTTATCTGCATTATGCGTAATAAATATAAATCAAAATATGCTCTGTTAATATATGTTGTACAAGGAAACGTTTCATACTAATCCAGAATGTAAAGCTCAGTTTTTAGACAACTGACAAGCTAGATATAATTGTAATTATAACTTGTGTATGTGTATTTACGCTAATGGTATCTATCGCATTTGTATTTCACTAATATATTACTTCAATAGCCAGTGTCAACATTAGTCCTACCTGATTTATATATTTCTTATTATTGATGGAACGCCTGTCATCAGGTATATTTTATTGAAAACTGGAATTACTTTGCTTACAGGTTTTTATCGCTTTGATCATTTATGTGTTGAAACTATATCCGACCTAAAAAATAACGTTCTTTTTTTTCTTAAGACAAATCGAAGGCTTACACTATCAATCAAAGTTACAAGTAATAAAATCTAGAAAGACAAGACGAAGTAAGTTCAAAAACGAAGAGTAATATTGAAGTAACGAGTATTATAACCAGCGATATTTAATAAAAAGTGTTGTGATTAATCATGATTAACAGCGTATCGGTTTGTCAAATCATATTTCAAAAGTTAAAAAGAAAATTGCCAACACTTCAACCTGAAAGATACCTGAAATTGTGTAATAACGACTTAAAAATTATATAAAGAATCACCGTCGTTACTATTAATTTTGTTTTCTTTTAATTCTTCTATTCTTCATAATTTCTTACTTAGATCCAGAATTATTTTCCGTAAACCACATATTATTATTCTACAGATGATTGGAGAAATTCTTATAGAACTTGTACGTCCTTTAAAATTATTGTTACTGAAATAGATGTATCTTCAACACTACAATGGAGAAATTCTTATATAACTTGTACATCCTTTAAAATTATTGTTACTGAAATAGATGTATCTTCAACACTACAATGAAGAAATTCTTATAGAACTTGTAAGTTCTTGTAAATTATTCTTACTGAAATACACGTATTTTAAACACTACAATGGAGAAATTCTTATAGAACTTGTACGTCCTTGAAAATTATTCTTACTGAAATACATGTATCTTCAACACTACAATGAAGAAATTTTTATAGAACTTGTACGTCCTTGAAAATTATTCTTACTGAAATACACGTATCATCAACACCACAATGAAGAAATTCTTATAGAACTTGTACGTCCTTGTAAATTATTCTTACTGAAATACACGTATTTTAAACACTACAATGGAGAAATTCTTATAGAACTTGTACGTCCTTGAAAATTATTCTTACTGAAATACATGCATTTTCAACACTACAATGGAGAAATTCTTATAGAACTTGTACGTCCTTTAAAATTATTCTTAATGAAATACATGTATCTTCAACACTACAAACGAGACAATATCTTGTTATAGGTTTTAAGTCTTATTTTCTATTAGTACTCCGTGACTTTTGCTGCGATGACTTTTTTATAGTATTCTTCTTATTTCATTCGTAATTTATGACTCTTGTCATTTTACGGTAGGTTGGCACTAAGCCCAATGCGTTAGGACATATACCACTCGATACACGGTTTCTGCGAAGCACGTCGTTAACTAAAATGTCTGATTATTAATACTTCTGTCCTGCTGAAACCACCACATTCAGGTAGATATATTTCGTCACGTTCTCTGCTACTGCATGTCTTTATGAGACTTGTAATTGTTTCAACTAGCTGATTATATTGATGTGTAAATAGCTGTTCTTGCATTGTAGGAACAGCGACATTTCATGTGTTGAGAAACTTGAGTGTATGTACTTGAAATAGCTGGAAAGTTTTGGATTTTTGTATATAAAGAGAAAAAAAAACCTAAAATATCCGTGGGAAGACAATCTTAAATATAACAGTGAGATATAATATATATAGCTGACTTTCCAGTTTTCTTTTACCGGCTACGAAGTTGGTGTGCTTTCTTCGTCCTATGGCATTGCACGAATTGGTGTAAGGATTCTTTTTAAAATACACAATGCGCTATTTTCACTCTGGTCAACGCGGGTATCGAGCATCGATGTTTAGCATTGTAAGCTCTCAAGCTTGTCACAGAGCCACAGGAAGGGGGAAGAGTTAGCTTTTATGTTTGTTTGTTTTGGAATTTCGCGCAAAGCTACACGAGGGCTATCTGCGCTA